CTAAGCACTGAACAGCAGGATGAGAAGAAAAAGAAGTGTGTCACACACCCAGCTCCAAGCTAGAGGCTCCCAACAGCTGCTAAGCCAGGGCTGTGACTAATGGAGAAGGCACAGGAGGCCTGGAGAACTCCACTGCTTGAAGTTTAAACTGTATTGATTGAGAATTTAATTGCTCCATAATCGCTGAGTAAACACTAGTCAGGCTGTATGGATCATACCTCAGTCCTGATATCAGCAACTCCACTCGGGGACAAGCAGAAAGAGGGGAGATGTTTGCTCTGCCCACCCTAGCCAACTTAGTTGCTCATTCCTGGTCCCCTCTCCCCCAACTAACATAATTACCCAGGAGTCCTAGCCCAGCTACCTTCATTGGAAAGCAGTCTCTACGAAACATGCTCACCCCTACCTCCTCTGGCCATAGCAGGACAAAGGGCTGATCAATATAGATGAAGGGGCTCTGAACCCCTAATGAAGTAATCACAAACTAACCATCAATGGCTCCCTATTGACTCTAAGAGAGAATATAAACTCCTCAGCTTGGCATTTAAAGCCTTCACACTATGGTGCCAACCAGCCTTTTTAGACTTGTGTCAAGTTACTTGTACATTTTGAGGCTTCTTCAAAAACCAGGAAGACCTGGGTTCAAGTTCTAACCCCGACACAAAGTGACTGTGTCATTTCTCAGTGCTGTAGACCACTCTCTAAGACTTGAACATGCAGAAGACGTGCTGAACATTATCAGTAAAGAGATTCCTCACCTAGGGATTCCCCATACCAACAAAATGCAGATCTAGTCCTCATCCCTTTAGATACTGTACGTTCCAGTCAAACTGCCCTGCTTGCAGTTCCCTGAACTCTAGATTCTATATCCCATCTCCAAGTCTTTGCACAAGCTTCCCCCGATGCCTGGCATACAATCTCTCAACACTCATGCCTCTTAGAATCCCAAGTTTCACCTGTACCTTTTGTTGAGCTCCCTGGTTCCCTTTTCAAATCACCTTGTATTTACTCATCTGTTTCTATGTTGTATCTCCAATAGAATGTGAGTTCCTTCAGGGTAAGGGACTATTTAGTATTTTTGGATCTCCAATACCTGGCATAGCACCTTGTTAGCACAGGGCCCTGAATAATAATTTTTTAAAAATTTAAATGATTGAAACTTAAACATTTTGCTAGGTTTAAGGAGAATAGAAAGATTGGCTAAAGTTGGAAAAATTTAAAACGGTTGCAAAAATTTCTCTTGAGGCCCCTCAGTGAACATTTTTCTATCTTCTAGGAAATGGATGTGGGGGATTGATGGGAAGGAAGTATTCCCAAGAATGAAGGTCAAGGGGGGATTCATGGCCCATGGGGCTCCAGGCATTTGATTTTGCTCTAGAATACTTTTGCCTGACTCTGAGGTTTGAGTACTGCAGAAGCCTCCCAAACTTTGCTCCAAATTCCCCAGGGGGCTTCTGCTAAGACAGCACCTTTTCTTTCCTGGCTCTGAAGCCCCCCTCAGGAAGCTGAAGAGACCCCCTGGGGCCTGGAGCTTCCCTTTCCATAAAAGCAGCTGCTGCTTCTGGCTTCATCCCAGCAGCAGCCTCCTCTCATTACTCTAATAGAAACCAATCTCCCTCATCAGGGGCCCCCGTAGCCACCCACGGAGACAAATGGACTGCAATTCTGTTCACTGCTGAGAGGCGCCTGGCCAGCTTCTGGGTCATTGTTTGGCATGTCATGGAGAGATGGGGAGCAAGGAGTGGGGAGGGGAGCCAGAGGGATGGAAAGTAGGGCTGCAATTACTGGCCTATTCAGCTCCCCAGAATGAAGTCCTACCATTAGCTGGGGAAAAGGAGATAGGGAGGGGCGAGTCAGGCTTGGGTCAGCCTATACTCTTCAGCCCACATGGAGGCAAATAATGTCCAAATAATAGGACAGTGAATGTAGCCCCATTATCACTGCCCCAACCCCACTCAACCCCACAATGAGACCTTGCCGTCACTAAATTACCAAGGTCAAGGACCTACCTTTCTAAACTTTTCCAAGGGGCAGAGGGAGCAGCCCTGGTTCAAGGCCCTGGAAATTCTCCCTAGTGGCTTGGCACAGGAGGGGTTGGCTCCACATGCTCTGAGGACGCTGACCTGGCCCTGGACACTGTTTCCCATTGCTGCGGCCCCTCATGCTCACCCTATGTGACTTCCTTCCCTTCCCACTGGCTTAACTTGAGCTCTTTCTCTGCCTCTCATTCTCAACCAGAAAAATACCAATGTTATTCCCTCCTAGTTCCTCATTCTCTGTCCTCCTTTTCCCAGACTCTCCTTCACAAACATTAAGCTTTTCTCCTTCTATCAGCTGGTCTGGAAGGGGTTCTCCTGGGCTCCCCTGGAGACTGGAAGCTGGGTCACCAAGGCTGAGTCCTCAGCTGGCTGAAGCATGAGTTGTTCCTCCCTTTACACACTTGATTAATCCCAGGACCAAGTAATCGGCTTAGGGTGACAAGCTACACTAGCAGCACCCGGATAGCTTAATTAAAGATACTCTGCTTAGCCCCACATTTGGAGGGTGGGATGGAGGAGATAATACAAACCAGCTCTGACAGCTTTCCCCTAGACCGTCCAATTGGCTAAAACCAGCCACACAGGATAAAGTCACAGCATTCATGAAGGCTGCCCTCATTAAAACAGAGAGCTAAGCACAGGAAATGGGGTGGCAAACCTCTGATTGGATCTATTTCTATTCTCCCAAAGCCCTTTGTCCTCCCTTCTTCCTCAGCACGTAAGCTGGGGGAGAAATGTCATTATCTTTTTCTATAATCTGATCAAGCCAAGAGAGGATCTGACTGGCCAAAAGCTGAGACCCAATTACCTTATCCTACCTAGAACCATCCAGGAGACCATGTTGAGATCCGATTAACTTTTTCTGGACTCCTCTCTGAGTCACTAGGATACCCAAGTGGCTTATCCTAAAGACAGCCTCCCGGCCTTACTGTGCTTGGAGCCTGGCTGAACTGGAGGGAATCAGATGGATTTACAAAGAGACTTATATCTGAGGGTCCATTAGGGGTTTTGTGTCCAACCCATCTGATGTGATTTAGCAATTCTGCTCAATCCCTAGGCCTAGCACCTCCCCTTATGCCAAACACAATGTATTGAGAAGGAGAGGGTTGAGAGAGGTTAATAGTATGTAGTTCCTTGGAGTTTCCCCAAGGACAGCCTCCTCTGGTTGAAAAGGAGCACTAAGGACATCCCATGCCACATCCCAGGGGCTTGGGATTTAAGGGGCAGAGGAGGATGCAAGTCTTATGGAAGACGGTATCATTATACTAAAGTAGAATCCCCCTTGAGAAGTCAAGAAGCAAACAGACTGATATAGATTCTATAAGGCTGCAAGACAACATAACAAAGAGGCAGGATCCTCCCAGAGAATCAGAGGGCCTGACAACACAGACAGACAGACAGACACAGTGGAAAGCCACAAGCCAGACAAACAGACAGACAGGACAACAGGATCCAGGAGAAGCCTGGAAACAGAAATGGATAGAGAGCCAGAGCCCTGGACCAACCTGGGGACAAATCATAACACCCCTCATTGGGTTGGGGGAGGGGATAGGAAGGGAGGGCTTTCAGGTCCCTGACAAATCCAACACCAAATCAAAAAAAAAAAAAAAACTTCCCTCTAGAGAGGCCCCAAACCTAGCTGATATCCCCTCAAGGTGAAAGGCAAATGGCAGTCTTCATGGGAACCAAGATGGTAGATTTCCCACAAACACATCTCAAATCATGGGACAAAATCCCCTAATATGTTGGGGGTCCCAGACCCCACGAAAAATCCCACCTCCAAGAAAAAGCCTCATTCCATAGCCTCCCCAACCCAAATCAGTTACCTGTCTTCTCTGGAGTTTGAAGTCAATCACATTCCCACATCTTGCCAAAAGTACCAACGACCTGGACCATCCCTCACCCACCATGTCTAGGCTAGAGAGGAGCAGGAAGAGGCTTTCAGGAATGGGGTAGGGAGACAGCATGAGACTGGAAGAGTGTTAGAATGTTATGTAATGCAGGAGTGGGAGAGATATGGAAAAAGCAAAGTACAGTAGGGGTAAGAGCACAGAATTTTGAATCCGAGGTTATGAGTTCAAACCTGATTTCTTCTACTTGTTAACTATGTGATCTTGAGAAAATCACTTTATTCTCTGGGCCTCAACTCCTCATCTATAAAATGGTGGGGTTTGAACTGGATGTTTCTTTCAAGTTCTAAATCCTAAGAATCAAGAAAGAAATACCAAAGGTGCTCTAGGATGACAGCATGGAATATTGTTCCTTACTAGCCTTCTGGTCTTTCTCCAGGGAAAGGAAAAATAGAGGAAGAAGGCTCAGAATAGAGTGATGAGAGATATATGTGCTCATATTGAGGGGAGCTAAGGGGAAGATGTCAGGACCTCTCAGAACATGTGGAACATAGGTATACATTCTTCCTTAAGGAAGAAAGCCCAAATTAGACCTTATGCATTCACCTCTCAGAGAGCAAATTCCCTACACTTGGTTTTTCAGACCCCTCCAGGCTATTTCCAATTCTCTGAATAGGTGTAAACTTCTTTAAAATAAACTTTATTAGTTTTAATTCAATTCACATTTTAAAAATTATTGCATTCTAGAACGCATTTTTAGAATGAAGAGGGGTAAGGTGCTTTACTCCCCAAAGGGTCTAGAAAGAGGGGAAAGGAACAAGCATGTATTAGGCACTGGGCTAAGAGCTTATCTTATTTGATCCTCACAACAACCCCAGGAGGTAGGTGTTGTTAACATCCCCATCTGAGGAAACTAAGGCAGACAGAGGTGAAGTGACTTGAAAACAAAATAAAGAAAAGAGGCAAAAATAAGAAATTTGATGAAAGTTGATCAGAAGAAAAGAATGTGAGTATGAAATGAAATGTTTGATCAGGTAGGAAAGAAGACAGGAAAGGTCCAAAGGAATACCCCAACATGATAAAAGAAAGAGACAGACATCTGAATTCCCACCTTTGGGAGGCCAGGTCTGAAGATGCAGGCTTCTGTTCGGCATCAGCAGCTGGACAGCAGAATTGGTGCAGCACAGTTTCATTCCTGGAGACAGGAGACAGGCCAGTCAAAACTCTGGCTAGCACTGGATGACCCCACAAATCCCACCAGCACAATCATTATACACAGGCATATTGTGAACACAATTGCTGTCACTGGTCTAGGACAGAGGGAGAACTGAGTATCCCTGCTGACCTTAGCCTTTCCATCCACTTGTTCTTTCCCACAAAACACACAATAACATGCATACAATGGAAAGAGCACTGATCTTGGACTCAGTAGGCTTGGATTCAAACCTGCTTCTGCTACTTCCTAACTATGCAACCCTAGAAAAGTCATTAATACCTCTGTAACTCAGTTCCTTCATCTGTAAAATAAGAATAGGAATACTTGTACCAGTTACTTCACAGGTAGGTTGTAAGGAAAGTACTTTGTAAGCCTTAAGTTGATCACAAAATGTGAAATATCATTATCACCCAGACACTCTTTCTCTAATGCAGTGTCTGTAATGCTCCAGAAACTCAAATGCATTCCTAATTTTTCTGTCTTTTCAGTAGTGTCTGACTCTTCTTGACCCCATTTGGAGTTTTGGTGGCACAGACACTGAAGTGGTTTACCCCTTTCCTTCTCCAGTTCATTTTACAGATGAGGAACTGAGGCAAACAAGGCTAAGTGACTTGCCCAGGGTCACACAGCTAGAAAGTGTTTGAGGCCAGATCTGAACTCAGGAAGTCTTCCTGACTCCAGGTCTGGCATTCTATCCACTGTACTATCTAGCTGACCCATAATCACATATATACATAATCATATATACGCATGCATTTCTGCATGTAATTTTGCCCTGCAAGTTGAAAACTCAAGATATGAATAATGGTGAGACATGATATGATGGTCAGAAGTAGAATATATTCTCTACATGAAGAAAGGTGATAAATTAAACATCATACTTGGTTGGGAGTAAGGAGATCTGGGTAAATGACTTGGCCAAGTTAGTGGCAAAGCCGAGATTAGAAAACAGCTATCCTTTCTTGCTCTAGAACCTTGCACGCTCTTTCCCACAAAAATGGTCCCTCCCCCAGCCCTGGGTTATATCATTTCCTTTTTTCACTGATCAAAGGGAAAAATTAAAAAATGTTATCAGAAACCATCACAATAACTCATAGTCACATAATGCTTTTAGATTTCCAAAATGTTTTCCTCACAACAATACTATGATACATTTATTGTTATTCCTATTTTACAGATGAAGAAAAAGGATCATGCAGGTTAAGTGATTTATCCAGGGTCATTCAGCTAGCAAGAGTTGGAGCTTGGATTCAAATCCAGATCTGTTTATTCAAAGTCCAGGCCTCCTGCCTTTCTGGGAGGAATCTTAGAATTCTTCTAGTCCATAGATTCCCAAAGTGGGGGGGGGCACTGGAATCATCCAGGGGAAAGGTGGTAATTGGGGGGCGTTGAATAAAAATAAGTGGGCGGTGGAAGCATAAGGAAAGAAGAGAAGAAAATTTTGAAAAACCATTCATACATGTTTCATCTGTTGTATAACAGAGTTAAAGTCACAGTGATTAAATTATTTTCCAAATAAACACACAAAATGCAAGTTATAATTGATCAGTGGTGAAGTCCTCTGACAGGTCTTAACAAGCAAATGCTGGTTAGGCGAGCATGTTGCATGTTGTTGGGAAGTCCAGCATGCATCGGCAGGAATATGTTCATGTAATATCTTGTTTACAATATGATCCTATATGGTTACATGACACAATATTGTGTCACCAAAATTTCAATGAAGGAATAAAGCCACAAATTTACAATAAATTATTAAATTTAAGATGCATCATTTTTTTAAAATTACATATTTTTAAATGATGCAAATTAAAAAAAAAATTAAAGGGTTAAAGAAAGTAGATTTCCAAGGGGGCGTGAGTAATTTTTTTTAAAAGGGTCAGTAGGCCAAATAAATTTGGGAACCTCTTTTTTAGTGTAATACCCCTATTTTAAGATAAGAAAACAAGGCCCAAGGGGAAATGTCTTGTCCAAGGCCTCTTTCAGAGCAGAAACTAGAACCAATGTTTCCTGACTCCACCACAACAACCATAAGTGTTCAGAGCACTTTGTGAATCCCCATCTGCTTTGCCACTGCCTGGGGAGGAATACAAGAAAAAGGGAGGTTTCAGAGGCCAGCAAAAGGAAGACAAAGATGCAGGGTAAACATGAGTAGCTGAAGTTGAAAAACTGCTACTAGAAGGAAGAGATCTGTTCCCACAGAACCTAGGAGACTAGGTAGCAATGCACCTCCATTTACAATTGGGCCAAGGAAGAAAAGGCTCTGAATTTCTTACAAATGCCATAAGCAACTTGTAATCAAACCAGCAGAAACTTATCCACCACCCATGGTCCTCAGAGTTCCAGAAAGAGGATCTCCCACTCTGACAAAATCCCACACCCTTAGAACTCATTCCAAATCCTACACCCTATCCCCAGAAAACACTTTCCCCATATAGCAGTTACTACTTTTCTGCTTTTCATTCATGGTGAGGCACCAGTTTAGCCTTTTCCAGGGGCCATAACACAGAACTGCAGTTTTCCTACCCCTTCCTTAAGACACAGAGTTCTAAGGGTCCCTCCCAATCTTTCTCTGGCTCAGGGAGTCTGAATGGTGCATGCTAGGATTGGTAGTCTTGGTGAGGGAGTTAAGCCTATAAGGACTCAGCATCAGATTTGTTCTACAGTTTCTCCTTTGGTGATCTTTTCCACTCCTGCGGCTTCAATGATTGCCTCTGTGCAGATGACTCCCAAATTTACATCTCCACCTCCAAATGCTCTTCAGAGCTAAAGTTCCCCAACGTCAAGTGCCTACTGGAAATCTCCACCCAAATGTCCCAGCAGCACCTCAAACTCAGCACGTCTAAAACTGAACTCATCATCTTTTCCCTAGCACCCATAGGTTTATTTCTACTGATGGCAGCATTAGTCTCCCATTCCATCAGACTTGTAATCTCAGAATCATTTTTGATTCTTCCTTCTCTCTCCCATGACAAATTCAATCAGTTGCCACATCTGGTCCATTCCCCCTCCAAAACACTGCTCACATCTAATCCTTCCTCTCAACCACCCTTGTTCCGGCCCTCACTTGTCCTTTCTCCTTTCACACTGTGTGCTGAAATAATCTTCCTAATATACCACTGTGATCATGTCCCTCTTCCATTCTAGCTAGGCAGCTAGATGACACAGTGGATAAAAGCAAAGGGCCTAGAGCCAGGAGTACAAATCCAACCTCAGATACTTACAAGCTATGTGATCTTAGTTCTTCAACTGCAAAATGTGGATAAGTGCTTAGCACAGTGCCTGGCACATTGTAGGTGCTATAGAAATGCTTATTCTCTTCCCTTTCCCTTCCTTGCCCCCATTCACAAACCTTCAGTGCTTTCTCACTAGCAAATAAAGTAGCATTCAAGCCTCTCCATAATCTAGCTTTAACCTGTCTCAACAACTCTATCTCACTACTGCCTCTCATGTACTTTATATACCAGTCAAATTGGCTTGTTCTCTGGACTCCGTTCTCTTTCTTCTCTCTCTCTCTCCCTCCCTGTGTATCTGTGTGTGTGTCTGTCTCTGTCTATTTCTTTGTCCCTGTCTCTCTCTGTCTCTGTGTCTCTGTCTCTGTCTCTCTGTGTGTCTCTCTGTGTGTCTCTCTGTCTCTGTCTCTCTCTCTTTCTCTCCCTCTCTGTCCCTCTCTTACTCTGTCTCTGTCTGTCCGTCTGTCTCTCTTTCTCTTTGTGTGTGTGTCTGTCTTTGTCTCTGTCTCTCTGTTTCTGTCTCTGTCTCTGTGTGTGTGTGTCTCTCTCTGTCTGTCTCTCTGTCTCTCACTCCTCTCAAATGATTCCCATATGTGGAATGGATACCCCTCTCATTGTTTTTTGGTTTAAGTTTTTCCCCTCTTCAAAGGCTTAACTCAGGTGCTACCTCTTCCACGAAGCCTTCCTCAAATTCCCCATATCACTTTACCTGGACCTCTTCTTTTCGCTAATCTTAATCCCCCTATATCATAGGTATTTGTATGCTTCTTCCATTAGCATGTCATATTATATGTGCCTTCTGCATGTTGTTGTTCAATCATGTCTGACTCTTCAATAACCCCATTTGGAGTTTTCTAGACAAGATACTGGAGTGGTTTGAAATTTCCTTCTCCTTACACATAGTAAGTATTTAATAGAAGTTTGAATGACTGACTGAGGGTGGAGAAGGATTTGAACAATGTCCCACCCAACTTCAGTGCAATCTCATTCCTTTATTTAGTTCTGAATTACCATACCCAGGGCTCTGCCATCATAGCACCCTACTTCCAAGAACCATTCCTCCAATCCCTGCAAAGATGCAGGTTGGACTTTCTGCAAGGATGGGACCTACCCTCTACATCCATGATAGGACTGTCCTCTAGGCTCATCCAGGGCCATCTTCAGTCATCCTGATCTATATCTTGCCACTAGATCCAAATAGCTCTGGAGGAGAAAGTGAGGCTGGTAACTTTGCACAGCCCTCCCTCACTTAAATCCAATTCACTTGCAAATCACCTTCCTGATGTCATGGTCCTCTTTGAGAACAAAGAACAAACAACATTCTTTAGGCTACTGCTATGCCTGACTAAGGCACCACCTCCCTGCCTCTGAATTCTCAACTATTTTCATTATAGATGAAATAATTCCTAGGTTATGCTTGGTTTTGTTTATGCCAAATTAACTCTTCTGCTCCTTCCATCTCTTTCTTTCTGATCGCCTTACCAGATATACATTCTGAGCCATGTCCCTTTGTAGGACATGGCAGGAGTAGGTAGGGTAGGAGATACCCCAGGCAAAATTGTCATGTAGGGGACGTTCAGTTTCGGCCCTCAACTCATCTGCTCCCTTAATGAGGGAATTTTGATATGGAGGAAATGACATGTAGTGGAAAACAGCTAACTGATGGGTCAGACGTCAGGGTTTTTAGTGTTGGTTTTACCACTTATTTATTGTAAGTGTTACTTCAGATAAGTCTTTTGTCCTATCTAG